AAAAAAAAAAAAAAAAAAAAAAAAGACCACTAAAGAGGCAAACTTCAGAAGCTGCCTCTGCCACCTTTTCAGTCATTGATTTAGGCCGTTCAGTAAATAAAGGGTATGGTAATGGGGATAAGAAGACTGGGCTTGGGGAGATTAAATGAGATAAGGTATTGCAATAATGAACTGGGACTCATTCATAAAATTTTATTCTCTGAAGCAGGCTTGTGAAGGGGATAGCCTGTTTCAAGCATGTGGGCAAGGGAGAGTCTGCCAGGTGGTTTAGTCTCTGTCCCCTCTGTTTTGCTCCAGACACCAAAAGTCATGGCCATGCTATATAAGAGGGTTCTGATGGTGGTGGCAAGGACGGTTTCTAAGGCGTAGATGGAAATGATTCTAACATAAAAGCTAATGTTCAATATTAACCAGCAGGCTACAAAAGTACCTCTGGCCAGCTGTGCAAGATAGACAGGAAGGCTTTGGAAATCACCCAAACAGGGAACTCAGGTGTGTAGGGAGAAGGCTGAGGCAATGAAGGGGAGAAGTCTGCTCTGCAGATTTGCAGTGCAACAGAAGTCACTGCATTTTTAGGGACAGCAGCGGGGAGATGCAGGGTACTTCCCAAGGCTAAAATAGATCTGGTTAGAGTCAGAGACAATAAAGGACTAGAGGGGAAGGGCTGGGGAATCTGTGCCAGGGATGGGCACTGTGGCTAGACAGGGTTTTCTAGCTTATGAAATGTTTTCAGGAGTCTTCACCTAAATGTTCGCTGCCTTTCATGCCTACATAGTATCTACAATCTGACATGTACAAACTTGTGAGTTCCCACATCCACACGCAACTGTTTTGTCCTAGACACATTAAAGGATAAAGATGACAGTTTGTGAATTGAGGTTGTTGGTGACTTAGGCTGAGGTGATGTGAAGGAGACTCTGGTTTGAAGTTTAGGTCTGTGCAGACTCTGATTTGAGGGTTAGGGCCCTGAGGTCTTTATGATGTTAGGAATAAAGGAAGGAGCCTGAAAGAGGTAAGCGGCCCCTGTCATGAACACTAGAGAATGTCACTGCAGCCTACCCTGAGGGTTTGCTCCGAGATGGAGTCCTGGGAGGCCTTAAGTTTGGGGTGGCTAGGAATGTTTAGGTAGTAATTAATGGTTTTCTCTACCCTATTCCTACAGGAAGCCTCTAAATTGAGTTTCCAGTTCCAAACTGCTAGACTGGCATGGGGTTCATGGTGGGTAAAGCAATGATGGCATCTGTTAGTTTTGGGACATAATCATAGCTTCTGGAAATGGCACTTGAGAAGCACCCAAGAAAACCAACCAGATTCAAAGACTCAAAAGTTGAAGGGCCCTCAGAGTTGTCCTATTCAATCTCTGAGCCAGGGAAATGTCCCTCTACAGCAAGGAGGCTGACTCACCATCCAGCTTCACACTCCATGTCATGTGGAAGCCATTGGTCATCAGGTAAAAGTTCTTCACATCTTCAGGCATCACACAGTTATTCTTCTAGAATCACAAAGCAGCTAAGTGTCAGGACAGGGCCGGGAAGGAGGGTACAGGCTATACCTCAAGGCACTGGGGACATGTTTACCATGTTATAGACCCGGAAGACTCTGATAGTTACCTACAAAACTCTAATAGAGAGGCACTGGAGTCTTGAAAGCTGAGTCACTAGTTTGCCTTTCTTTTTTTTTTCCAGCAGCTAAAGCAAACCAGGTATCTGCTCTGCCATGATAATGCCTCAATGGGCAGCCACCTGGCAAAGGAGCTCAAAGGGAACAAGCTGAAGAGAAGACAGGGGAACATGGTGAGAGAGGAGGTCCTAGGTAAAGTCTGGCAATGTTCAAGCAAAGCAATTACTGCCATACATTTGACCCATGCTCATATATTATTTTCTGAAACAAGTAATTGGACAAATGAGAACATCTTAAAAGTGAAGAGTATATTATTTCCAGAAAAGCTATGCAATGTCTAAGTTCTGACAGCTCTTAGAAAGTAACCATATATACTCAAATATTTATTTCACATGGATAATAAACCATCCAAACTGTTGGTGGAGAGAACAAAGAAGGAGCTTACTGTCCTTCAAGGAGATACCAGGAACAAGCCCTACATTCTAAATAACTCAGTCTTTAGTCTTCCCTAGCCAACTCAAATCCCTGGAGTGTGCAGAAGAATGAGTTATCCAATTCATTTCCTAGGCTCCTAGAGTGACTTCTTGCTCTAGTTACAGAGGCAAAGACGCAATATGTTAAGAACTATCCAAGTTTATGGCTCACTGGACCCTTCTGAGATGTGATACTAGCCACTGCTCATGTCAAGACTGCATTAGGTCATCCTGTCAGTCAGTTCTAGGTACCTAATATGTGGGAAAGCATACTGTAGAAGGACAATCTGAGTTCACTTCCCAGCTCTGCCACTAGCTGCGTGACCTTGAACATGTCACTCTGTGAATCTAGGCTGAAGAATAAACTCTAAGACTGAATATGCAGAACACTGGAGGTACAAGGAGGTGTGAGTTCGACAGGAAGAGAGAAGATGAGGAAATTATTATTATTCACAGCCATAGCATCTTTAGGAACTACAGATAAACAGGATTAAAATCTTGCCAGAGATTTTAAGCAGTGTTTTTAGATTATTAAATGGACAACAGATGTCATTTTAATGAAACAGGCTTTAAATTTCCCTTACCTATGAACTAAAATGTATGCTTTTATCAAATTTTGTGTTTTCTGTGTCCACTATTTAGTTCCCAGTCTCATAGATGTGAAATTTAAGAGACTCTCAGACTCCTTGGACTAATTTATTTGTTTTCCTACTGTTTAGAGTTAGGGGCTTGCTCCTAGTCCCTCCTGTGTGGCTACATTATATGTGCCTTCAGAGGAAAAAATGAACTTGCAAAATGCCTTTCTCCCACCCCTAGAATCCTGGTACAGGAAGCCTACAGTTACCGGTGTTCTGACAAAGTTCTTGCTCCTACCCCAAAAGGCCAGCATCTCTCTGACATTTTGATCACTAGTGCCATCTAGTGGTGAACACAAGGAAACTACTGTCCATCAGCCTTTCTTAATGGGGATTCCATGAGAACCAGACTGAGGGCAGGTGGGACTATTGGGCATTGTTCATAGGTAAGTCAGGCTGAATAATTCCAGTAACAGTAATTATAACATTTCTTATGGTATTTATTTCACTCAAGAAAGAAATTTTGGTATTTTATACCATTATTTTTACAATTATTCAAAATTCAAACAAATAGAAAAAAATCTGTGAAATCAAATATTTAATACACATTTCAAATACTAACACACATAAACATTTTCAAGTAAACTAAATTCATGAAAAACATCAATCCCTCACTGTCATTCTAATTTAAATGGCTAGCAGCCCTGTCTCTGCTGCTCTTTGCTGCAGACCTTTCTGCCTTAAGCATCCTGGGGGCAGCTGCTGGGCCTGCAGTGCTTCAGCCTCTTTCTATTGCATGTAACTCTTCTGAGTGGGGCAAATCCAGGATGAAACATTCACAACCAAAGCTTAAATGACCATATACCCTCATCAGTCCTTTAAGGTTGGAGAGAAAAGTAAAAAACCTCTCCTAATTTTGATATATTTCACCATGTTTTTTTTGTTCTTGCCAGTGACTCAGTTACTGCCATTTTAAAATTTCTCTTCTAACCAATCTGAAGAGTTTGCTTTTCTACAGGGAGCAATCTGCCCACATCACAAAGCTTCTTCCTCCACAGATTCATGCTCGGCCTATATTTTGGGGGGGTGTAATAGGAGGGTGGTGAGAAATAAGATTGGCAGAAAGTGAGTGGACAAGGGTAATATCAGGATTGGAGGGAGGGTTTGAGGGGAAAGCCAGCAAGGGAGGATAACACTGACTGGCGTCTGTAACAACAGCTGACTGCATCAAAATGGTATCTGCAATGTGTACCCAGCCCAGCGGTGCTTTTGTCACATAGTTCCTAATTTTCAATCTTTCTTTTCTTTTCCTGAGACGATCTGCAATGGTTTCTTTAAGCCACTTTAGTAAGAGTCCACCGCAAGCTCTGTTACTACTTCATCGGATGAAGGACCTGAACCGCTTTTATGTTTTGGGAGCTATCAACAACATTCCAGAAAACCAATACCACTGCCTGGGCTTCAAGGGAAGGGCTAAGGGCTGTCCATTGCCTTCTACTCACCTTTTCTCCTGGACAATCCTGCACCCCACTGTTCCCCACCCCCTTTTAAAGGCCACTTCCCAACTGGGGAGCAGATGCAGGATCAGATCAGCGTAGGGACCAGAAGACAGAAATCAATGTTTCTGTAGGTGCTGGTCCATACTGTGCTGGCTCTCTGGCTGGTCTGCAACCACAGCCAGGTGAAGAGCTGCCCAGGATGTCCATCAAGAAGGAGCATGAGAACACTGCCTGAAACTATGGCAAGGAGCAAAACAGCATCTCCTGAAACTCTTCTCAGGGAGGACATTCCACGAAGTGGAAGGAAAACCTGGATGAACTGTGGAGGGACAGTCTGAGATCCCTAAGAGAATTCCCAAATATATTCTTAAACTCCCACCTTAGGAGAGGTGGAGGGCTTGGTTAACTGAACCCTTTTGTTTTGTTGAGTGGGGTATGAGAGTTTGGGGCCAGAGCTGCATTACTTAAGAGAGACTTTGACCATGTCAGGGTCACCACCTGAGACCTTGGTCATGTCAGGGTCATCACCTGATACGTTGATTACCACCTGCGGGGATCTAACCCTGACTTAACGACTGGATGAATGAATGCACTCACACACACCAAAATACAGTGAATCTGAGTGGGCTAGGGATGGTCATCAGCTGCTTTCAGAGGGTGACTGCAGCTAACCAACCACCACTCGCTGCTGCTCCTCCTCATATTTATTTGGTAGGATTTAATAACAGAGGTTCTAAGTCAACATGCTTGTGGGTAATTAACATGGTTAAAAGAGTGGTTTTATGAATGATAAAAGGTCTTGGTTCCAGGGCCCAGAATAAACGCCATTAATGGATTACCCCTTCAACCTCCTCCTGAGAGGACCATCCAGGACAAAGTTTACATGAGCAAACAAATTAGGGACAAAGGAATGTGGTATAAACAGACTTAATTGGGGAAGCTTTTATTATTCCTAAACTTTTTATCCTATGACTTAAAGCTCTAACGTATGAACTGGCTGCCTTCAGCCCAGTCTCTTAAAACCTTTCAGCCTTCCAAAAGGTTTGAGACTATAATCTATAACTTTCCCTAATATTTCCCTAATATTTTGCCAGCCACCCCAAGTGAATCCCAACACTTAAGGGCCAAAAGAAAGGTAGCATACTTTTTCCAAAATCCTTTCTCCACAGAACCATCAGTGTCCCTCTAAAAACATGTGAAGAAAAAAATATATAAATATCAGCCTGTCTAGAGGCACCACAAGTCTCGGTGAAGCTGTGTGTCTGACAGCTCATGCCAGACAACCTTCAGAACAGTAATGCCCTCAGGTTTATATAATCATCAAAATTCTACCACTGGAGGAATTAGTGGGGGAAGGCTTTGCATCTGCAGCTGCTCTGCTTCAGAGATGGTGGTGTGGTAGCCTGAGTCTCAGGAGGGAAATTAAGGACTGCTTGTGAAAAACAAGTTAGGCAGCCTTGGGAAACTTCCACACTCCTTCTGACTTTTGTGTTTTATCTAATTCGCTTACTCATCTCACATTTATTATCTATTATGGAATAAACACTGTGTGGAGCACTAGCAACAGAAAGAGAAACGAGGGAAGGGGCAAAGGAGGCTGTGTCAGACATATGGGTTGCTTATTCAAATCCACCTTCCTTTTTCTCCTTGGCAGAACCTTCGTTTTGTTTGAGATGGCAATGTGTCCTATTAAACACCTGTTTTCAGAACTGCCTGCAATTAGAACTTGACATTAAAATGTAAACACAAGTCCAAAGGAGAAGGTTTCTAAGAAAATGTTCACTTTCCTGTTGAAAGCTGACAGATGTGCCTGGCAACATCCCCTACCTCCTTTTTGTTCCTTGAGTTTGGAAGTGATAGCTGAGACTGTAGCAGTTACTTTGCCACTGTGATATTGTGAAATATATATTTGGTCTCTGTCACAGTTTTCTGGCATACAATTCCTAAAATCTTTGCAATCTCTAAAGTGATGTCTTTTTGTGTGCTAATGAGTTGACAAATGACTGGCAGCTCCAAGGTAGCTGCAGGATGGGGGATGATCACCAGAAAGACCAAGGCAGGCAGTGGGTTGGAACTTTCAGCCCCACCACCGAACCCTAAGTTGACCATCAACGGCCAATGATTTAATCAACCATGTCTACATAATGAAGCCTTTATAAAAACTCAAAGGACTTGGTTCGAAGAGCTTCTGGACAGCTGAACAAACGGAAGTTCCTGGAGGGTGGCGTGCTCTGGGATGGCATGGAGGTTCCACGCTCCTCCCACTACACCTCGCCCTGTGCATCTCTTCATCTGTATCCTTTGTAATAAACCTGTAAATGTTAAGTAAGTGTTCCTCTGAGTTCTGTGAGCCACTCTAGAAAATTAACTGAACCTGAGGAGGGGGTCGTGGGAACCCCAATTTATAGCTGGTGGGTTAGAAGCACAAGTAAAACCACCTGGGACTTGCAATTGGTATTGGAAGTGAGGGGCAATCTTGTGAGACTGAGCCCTTAACCTGTGGGATCTGATGCTATACCCAGGGAGATAGCATTGGAACTGAATTGCAGGATACCCAGCTGGTGTTCACTGCAGAACTGATTGCTTGTTGATGTTTGGGAACTCCCCCTTGCAAAACACACATGTTTGATCATGGAAATTTTCTTTGTTGATTGTTGTGGATTAATAGGAGAGGAAAAGCAGTATGTGTTTTTCCTACTCAGAAGCACCATAAAGAAAAAGGACAAAATAATTACAGAGATAAAGGCTTAACATTGTCAGGGCTGATGAACCAACTGCAACTGTCTACCTCAGGACTTGTTACATGAAAAATATTAATTCCTATTTGCTGAAGCTATTGCTAGTTTATTATTATCTTTCCTTGAGCCAAACATATTCCTAATTTATACAGAGACAAATGTTTAACAGATAAGTGTTGCAGAGCTGCAAGGGTCAAAAAGAACTAGGAGGGAAGAGTCTTCAAGGAAGGAAAGAATCAGGAGAGTTGTGCTTCTGAATCCAAGGGAGGAGAACTAGCAGAGAAGGGAGTGGCTAACTGTGAGACACGCAGGCGTGGAACCAAGTGAGATGAGGTAAGTCTTTAGCAATGAAGGGGTCCTAGTGATTTTGACAGAATGGTATCCAAGAACGGTGGTGGCTAAAAAGCGGCTGTGGCAAGACAAAGAATAACTGAGAAATGATGGAAGGACAGTAATTTGTCAACTATGTCCACTGGATCCACCCTGTCACCTATTTTTGTAAAAATGTTTCATTTAAACGTAGTCACACCATGCATTTCAGTACTTTTGATGGCTGCTTTCACAGCTACAATGGCAGAAACGGCAGTTGTGACAGAGACTGTAGCACCCACAGAGCATAAACTATCTGGTCCTCTCAAAAAAACATTTCCCAACCCCTGATGTAGACAGTTTTTCTACACACTTGGTGTGAAAAGGAACAAATGGCTAAACAGCTAGAAGAAGACATACGTTGAAGGTTTTTTTGTTTTTAATTTTAAAGAGATGCGAAGCCCCTAAGGGGAAGCTGCCAGCAGAAAGAAGTGAAGTGCTAGAGAGAAGGATTGACCAGTGGAGAACAGAGAAGCTCAGGCGGAGTAAGAGCATGAGATGAGGGGGTCACTAGTGACATGGTGTCGCAGAATGATTTCTTCTTCTGGAAATGCCTATGATAAATTCATAGTAGGGGCATGTAAGGAACATATCTTCAAGAAGGTTCAGAACCCACTCTGTAGAAAAACTGAACCTGAAAACAATGGGGATATTCTGCCAAGTCATTTGGTTTCTGTGGGCCATGGTTTCACCATCAAGTGAACTGAATTTTAATCTGGGGATTGAAGAGTATATAACCTATCAAGAATTGTAAAGCAATCTGCTGCTATGAAATGTCTCTGACATGCTTAATAATAACAGAACTCTTCTGGCACCAGGATGCTATGAGAACTAAGAGGCAGATGTTTTCATGGTGCTTGAAAGATGAAAATCTCAGTGTAGGCATTAGGCCTTACTATGGGCCAACATGACAAAAAGTATGTAGCAGGTACAATGAACATGAATCATACAACTGCAGAGAAGCAGGCAAACTGAAACTGTGTACTGAAGAAGAAAAAATGGTGAAATATATAAAAATGGAAAAAGGTTGTTCACATTCCCCTCCAACCTCAGGTCACTGTAGCAGATATCTAATCATTTAGGTTTCAGTTGTCAACCTTTCCTCCTGGATTTGCAGTACAGAATCACAAAATACTAGATTACAGCTGGATGAGTCCTTCAATAACGCTGATTTCAAACTACTTATTTTATACATGATGAACATGCGCTCCAGAGAAGTTACATGACTTAGCTAAGGGTCCAGAGCTGGCATAAGACTCCTACTCCAGTCTGTTTTTCCCAAATCAAAATGCTTCCATATACTTACTAGTATATTGAATCTCAGTGAGCTTCCCAGAGAACTATATTTGCCCAAAGGGGCAGAGGTCCCCTTTGTGCGGGGCCTTATCTGAATGTATTTATGCAGCTGTGGTCACCAGGTATACCAAATGGAGGCTTGGCTTTAAATGAGGTGTCTCCAAGGAGACAGTCTCTAGGGTCAGTTCTCTAGAGAAGTAGGAGTTATCAGCCCCTTTGGATGCTCCTGCTTCTCTGGTATAGGCACTTCGGGAAGAAGGCACACAGCAGGGGTGGCGTATCAAGCCCACTCCCGTGGCAGCATGCTCTTTAGTAACCTCTTGGGTGAGAAAGTGAGACAAGGAAGTTTTGGAGCAGTCCAACAAAACTTCTACCCTCCATTGCTTAGGAGACAAAAGTAGGTAAGAAAATAGCACATCGGGCATGGCCACATTTGAATGAAAAAATTATGCAAAAACCTGTTTGAAACTTTTTGGGGTTATGAGTCCCTTTCAGAGTCTGATGAAGTATTCCCCCGCCAAAAAAAAAAAAAAAAAAAATATCTGACATACATTTTAAGGAGTCCATGGACCACTTCCCATTCATAGACTTGTAAGGGATCCCATCGCCTACTCTCCACCCACACATATAACCAAAAATACACCAACTGTGGTTATGTCTAGGTGGTAAAATCCTAGAAGACTTAAAATTTTTTTTTATATTTTCAATACTTTTTTGACTTTTGTTTAGCATAATCAGAAAAAAATCATGTTATATAAAAACTAAGTCTTAAAACAGACATGCACACCCCAAAGGCTATCTTATTTTCCAAGCATCCCACAGGCCTTTACAAGCCCAGACATGCCAAATTCATCTTGATACTGATCCTAATACTGTTAGCATGTTATTTTTAAAATTTTGATTACTTATTTATTTTTTAAGAGATGGGGGTTGAGGGATTGTCTCATTATGTTTCCCAGGCTGTTCCTGAACTCCTGGCATCAATCAATCCTCCCACCTTGGCCTTCCAAGTAGCTGGGACTACAGGTGTGCACCACCACACCCAGCTTGTTTGTATATTAGATTTGGCATATTTGAACTTAGATCTGAGATATTTTAACTATAGAACTCACTGGAAAATTCCAAATCTATGTATATATGTACTTTATTTTAGGTACCAAATCTATGTATCTATGTACCTTATTTTAGGTACAGGCATTCTCTCAACTGAGTATGTCTGAAGAAAATGTTCCATTAACTGTCTCAGTTACTTAAAAATCTCTTTCTCTGATGCTTACCCTTTAATCCTTTTAGGCCTCTGATGGCTATTTATCTAGCACTACAACTGCATTTCCCTAAGTGTCAGTCTAAGCTAAAAGGGAACCCAATAAAGTTGCATAGTCCAGGATGCAGATTAGATCCCAAGAGATCCCCTGTAGACTCTATCCCTGAAACACAGCTATGGAAGGCAGCTCCAAATGAAGAAAAATACAGTATAAGTAAAACTGGGACAAATGGGTAAAGTCTTCTCCTTATAACAATCTACACCATGTCTTAGGCAGTAAGATCAAGAGACAAAAACAGTGCCTTTTAAAAAATACCATTTAACCCCCAGGGCTCAACACCAAGCACAATGTCTGGCCCACTGTAGAAGCTTAAAACTTTTATTGAATAAATGAAGTTCAGAGGAAAGTTGGAAAGCATTAGCTTTTAATCTGCTTAGCAGTTATGTACAGCACTTAACCATGTTCTGGACAGCATGACACTTATATATCCTTTTCTTTCCTTAATTGATTTTTAGCTTTGTTGTATACAACTTTGAATGTCCACTACCTCTACAGGAGAGTGGGGTTCAGGGGAGACATTCCACGCTGGGTAAGTGGCATAGAATGAAAGGAACTGTTAAGTGGACTGAACAGGAACATAGAAAAGGTGAGCTCTACGTTGAAAGCAGCTGTGGTTTGAGATAAGTATTCTTCCTCCCTCAGTCTTTCCTTCTCAGGGACATTTACATTGACCTCTCTTTGTTGGGAGGTAAAGACTTCATGTGGCAACACTTACTTGTTCCCATGAAGAAATCATATGACGTTCTGCAGGAGGCTTTTCTATGATGGTCACCTCTGTCACACCTGGGGAAGATTCTGGAGGAGAAAAAAAGTCTGTAGAGTTGCCATTGGTGCATTGTCATACATTTCTATGCTAGATGTTGACTAGCTGTTGATGACTGCTCTAAGAACATCCAATCCTTCTCATACACCCTTAGCACTCCTGCAATGGAAGAAGTGGACTGGTTGGCCTCTGAAAGGCATGGTCCCCATGACCTAGCACAATGTAGTCTACCTGGTAGAAAGGATATCCACAGAATGTGCTCTATACTGTCACCGCTCAGTCATTAATCTTATTGAACAAAAAAACAGATTGTAGATTCCTAGTGATTTCACATGGAAATTCTCAGTGAGCTAAATCTATATACTCAAAGAGAAAAGAAATAAATAGCAATCCATTAACTTTTATAAGACATAAAATTTGCTTATTAACTTTTCTTCTAAATAAAACTCATCTTGAACATAATCTTCTACTCTATGAGGTCTAAGATTTAAAAGCTAGGTTAACATAAAAAACAAATTCCATCGATAAATATATTGAGAAAAAAGTAAGTCACATTTCTAAATCCTTGGAGTAGGAAAAGGTCTCCAAACAATCTGGTTTGCTTTTCTTGGTGGAGCTGTGTTCTATCATTCACTCTGAGGGAAAGCAGAAGCCACCTGGAAATACTACAGAGTTCAATACCTCCTCCAACATTCTCCACTTATCTGCGGCCATGCAGACTCAAGATTCTGAAGTTCTTAATCAAAAAAATAACATCTGTCATAAAAGCTGTTACAACTTGAATTCTGTCCCCACCCCACAAAAAAGATATTGAAGTCCCAACCCCCAGTACCTCAGAATATGGGACCTTATTTGGAAATTGGGTTACTGTAGATATAATTAGTTTAGATGAGGTCATACTGAAGTAGAGTAGACCCCTAGTCCAATGATTGGTGCCCTTATAAAAAGAACAACATGTAGCCAGGTGTGGCAGTGGATACGTGTAGTCCCAGCTTCTTGGGAGGCTGACACAGGAGGGTAGCTTGAGTTTTCAAAATCTCATGAACTATGGCAGAGACTTATAATCATTTTATGTGGTTCACTGATTCTATAATTAAGCCGGTGCCCTTTTATGCATTATAAAATTAGTTGCCCGAAATTCAAATCTTGGGATACAGCAATAGCCCAACATAGGCACTAAGAAATCTAGACTTTACCTATTCTAGTCTTGCTTTATACATTTACTAGTTGTATGATCTTATGCGGGTCTTCACTTCCCTTCACTTTCGGTAAGTCACAATAGACGTTAGGTTTGAAAGAGGACACATACAATTATTTGCTGTTTATAACAGGCCTACATGGAAGGGCTATAGGTTCAGACAAAACTACTATGATGCTACTGCAGATGTGGTCATATCATACTTAAGCATGATAAGCTAATTGGCCAAGATGCTGACTTTAATAACTTTCAGATAATAAGTTGCTTAGAAAGTACCCATTGTAGAGACTCCTATATCCAATATAGTACTTCAGCATTGGTGAGGAGGAAGTGTTGGGGATATGGAGGAGAAAGGCATTCAATAAATTCCATTTGTATAATGCTCTGTTATAGGAAATTGGCATAAATCATCCCACTTAATCTTTCAACAATCTTTGGCATAAATTATCCCACTTAATCTTTCAACAATCTTGTGAAGCAGGTATCCTTACCCTTGTTTTAAAGATAAGGAAACTAAAGTTTAAAGATGTTAAATAATTCATAGAATGAAATCTCTGACCAAAGCTGTGGACACCAAGCCCAATGCTGTTTTTATTACATTGTCTTAGTAGCCTATCATTTTGCTGAGATAACTAAAAGCATTTTGTGGATGTTTAGAAAGCAACAGAAATTATACACTGTCCTTGGCCTATCAAGATGCCATATTTGAAAAGCAATATCTAAACAGGCATAGCCATTCTCACTGTCTGCCTTTATGACCAATGACAAGCATTTGTCAGCCACCTGGCTGTAGTAAACTTCATGGCAGAGTAAGAGATATGAAACTCGGATCTTCAGACTCAGCACAGTCCACTCTAAGTAACTGTGTGATATGCCACAGCTTAAAACTCTCTGTGCTGGCTTACTCCAATGGTGAGTGCTATCAATTCCTTCTTTCCCTGCAGGCCCATACCACTTCTCGTTGAGAGGTGAGTCAATTTCTCCAACTTCTTGAGTTTGGAGTTGGCCTGTGCGTGCCTTGCCCTATAAAATATGGTGAAAAAATAGTGTGCCAGTTATGGACTTAAAATTTAAGAGAACTGGCAGTTTCCTTTTGTCTTTCTGAGCCATCACATACAAAATCCAAGCAACTCTTCCGGAGAGAGAGAGAGAGGCCACACTGAGAAGTACTGAAGGGGGCAGACATTCAAGTGCAGATGCCATTTGATGATTCCAGTCCCAGCTGCTATCTAACTGTGACCACTTGAGAGACCCCAAATGAGAACTACCCCAGCTGGTCCAGTCAATCCACAGAGCTGGGAGAGATAGTTAATGGTTATTTCAAGCAAACTATGTTTTAGGATGATTTGCTACCCAGTGATAGATAACTGGAATATATTTTCTGGTGACAAACAGTCTCTCTGCGGTATTTAATGGGGACCTGCTATGTCCTAAGCTTGGGAAAATTACTGCCAGAGATTAGGAATTTAAGTAGGAGACACTGTTTCAAGAAGCTTACTGCCTAGTTAGATAAACAAGACAAACATGAAACAAAGTGAAAACTGCAAGATAATATGTAGTTACATGTTAAACTAGGTGATACTGACTGTCAGGGCCACAGGAGTTGAAGGCAGAGGTAAGTTGACAAAGACTGCAAGTGATACAAAACATCAGAAACGGCACACAGCTGATCTGGGCCTTCAAGGATGATGTGTCAGTTACTGCAGACTGGCTCAATTAACACCTCCTCCTGTTCCCCCCTGGAGTGCTTTCCTTTATTTTAGACTGGGTAGCTAACGACCTCATTTCCTAGATTTCACGGCAGTTAGACTCCCTCTGGTGGCTGGGATGCCTGCATAGAAACCTACTCTCATAAAATTTGGAAGAAGGGAATCAGCACATGAGGAAGAGAACAAATGGAGAGACCAGATCTTCTTGCAAGCATAGTTTCACAGGTGTTTCAGTCTCAGAGGGTGCTGGCGGCAGGAGCAATTTTTGATTCTACAGCTATCCTTCTGGGAGTCTGAAATTCTGAGAGCTGTGGCTGGTTGTTTTGCCAACTTAAGGCTTAAACAGGCTTTCTGGAGAAGAAACACTACGCACGTATTGTTGCATTTCACTGTTTAAGAAGTGTGTGACTCCCGACAAGAGGGAAAAGTTCAGAAGCCTATGCATGGATTCCTCTAGATTCTACCTATATTTTTTCCTCCTGCAAATCAATGCAATAAATTACACTAGGGACTACTACTGTTTCTGAATCCTCTGTGTCCTTGCAGTGGATCTGGTAGATCTAAATGTGTGGATGGTTGCGGGATCCCAGAAACATGCATCCATCTTTTTATATTTAACATTTCTGATTTCATTTGCTTTAGGTATGTTTTTGAAAACATCAAATAACTGGGTTTTGTGAGTCAGGTTTAAACTGTTTTTTATTAATAGGTGACATAAACCTATATGTATATACTTCAGGGACAGGGTTTTGCTGTCACTCAGGCTGGAGTGCAATGGTGGAATCATAGCTCACTTCAGCCTCCAACTTCTGGACTCAAGTGATTCACCCATCTTAGCCTCCCAAGTAGTTGCAACTACAGGTGCACACCACCACACTGGGCTAATTAATTTTTTTTTTGTAGAGACAAGAGTCTTGTTATGTTTGCCAGGCTGGTCTTGAACTCCTGGCCCCAAGTTATTTTCCCATCCTGGTCTCCCAAAGCACTGGGATTACAGGCATGAGCCTCAGTACACAGCCATGACCATTTATATTTATTGTTATGACATATATGTTTGGTCTAAACTCTATCATAATAGTTCATAATTATGTGTGCTACATTATACTTGTGTTCCTTTTTGACATGCATATCATTTGCTCTATTCTTTCAAAATTTGGGGGAATGTTTTCTATTGCTAAGTAATAAATTACCATGAATTAGCAGCTTTAAACAACATCCTTTTATTAAGTTACAGTTCTGTAGCTAACAAGTCTGGCACACCATGATTGGATTATCTGCTTAGGAAAGATCAGAAATTACTGGTTTTTCCTTACACCAGATGTGCTGATCGGTATTTTAGCTGTTGTATTTTCATCTGGAGCTTGGGGTCATCTTGGAAACTCATTCCTGTTATTGACAGAATTCAATTCCTTTTGGTTGCAGGACTGAAGTTTCCATTTCCTTGCTTGCTGTCTGCTGGGGCCACTCTCAGCTTGCAGAGGCCACCTGTATTCCTTGTTAAAAGGTCCCATCCATCTTCAAGCCAGCAACAGCATAAGAAATTCTTTTCATGCCTCAAATGTCTTGACTTCCCTGTTAACAGCTTGTTTTAAAGGCTTATGTGATTAGATTGGGCCCACCTGGATAATCTTGCTTTTGCCATTTAGATATAAAATAATCAAGGTATGATATCTCATCAGCTTCATGGTCCTGGGAATTAGAGCAGGAATTCTAATAGTACCATGTTTAGGATTCCTTTTTAAAAATAGCTTTACTAAGATATAATTCACATACCATCATCTGCCCTTATAAAGTGATTTTTATATTCAGAGTTATGCATCCTTTCTCCTAAAAGAAACCCATACCTATTATATTAGCAGTCCCCTCTCCCACCAGGCTTGACAACCACTAATCTACTTTCAGTTTCTATAGATTAGTCTATTCTGGACATTTCATATAAATGGAATCATACACGTGGTTTTTGCAACTGGCTTCTCTCACTTTCATTTCAAGATCATCCATGTTGTAGGATCAGTATTCATTCCTTTATATGGATGAATAATTTTTTTTACATGGATATATCATATTTTACATATCCCATTCATCAATCGATGAACATTGGGTTGTTTTCACTTTTGACAACTATGAATAATGCAGATACAAAATTTGTATAAAAATGTTTTCATGTAAATATCTTTTCATTTCTCTTGGAAAAATGAAATCCAGAAATGGAATTGCTGGGCCATATGGTAACTAATCTTTTGAGGAAGTGCCAAACTAGTTTTCTAAGCTGCTGTACATTTTACATCCCCACAAGCAGTGTATGATATCTCCACATCCTCGCCAACAATTGCTGTATCTGTCTTTTTGACTATAGCCATCCTGGTGGGTGTGAAGTGAAATCACATTATGGTTTTGATTTGTATTTACCTAATGGCTAACGATTATAATCATCTTTATGTGTGGTCACTAGTCATCTATGTATCTTTGGAGAAATGTCTGTCCTGTTGCCCAGGCTGGTCTGCAACTCCTGGTCTCAAGCAATCCTTTTACCTTGGCCTCCCAGTGTTGGGATTACAGGTGTGAGCCACTATGCCAGCTACATTTTAATCTTTTTGATACTATTGTAAAGTGAATTGTTCTCTTAGTTTTATTTTTGGATCATTCATTGCTGGTGTACAGGGATATTTGTGTGTCTATGTGTATGTGTATACACCTTAGGATTTTTTTCTATATTCAAGATAATGTCATTTGCAAAGAGATAGTTTAACTTCTTCCTTTACAAATGGATGCCTTTATTTCATTTTCTTGCCTAACTAACTGCCCTAGTTAGAACCTCCAGTACAATGTTGAATAGAAGTGATAAAAATGGAATTCTTACTGTGCAGACAAGAGTGAACATAGCAGGCCCAAGACAATAATCCTTAAAAGGGCCTGTTAATCGGGCTGCCAAAATCCTTTTGTTGTAATGAATCACAGCCACAAGTAGGACTATCTCCTGATTCCTGTAATCCTTATGTCAAATCATTGACTCTGGTGTGATCTTGGGGAAACTTGACACAATTTTTCTTCATGATTTTAAGGAGAAAGCTGTCAGTCTTTCACCATTACACATGATGTTAGATGTGGGTTTTTTATAGATCTCCTTTATCAGGAGTTGACAAAGTTCTATCTCTATTATATCCTATTTCTAGTTTGTTGAGTTTTTTTAATCATGAAAGGGCATTAGATTTCATCAAGTGCTTTTTCTTTATTAAGATGATTATGCAGTTTTGTCTTATTCTATTAATAAGTTGCATTACCTTAACTGATTTTTTTAAGTCACTGTTTTTTTTTTTTTTTAGTGACAGGGTCTTGCTATGTTGCCCAGCTGGACTTGAACTGGGCTCTAGTGACCCTCCCACTGCAGCCTCCCCAGTAGATGGAGGTAAAGACAAGGGTCACCATGCCCAGCTATTAATTGATTCTTATGTTAAACCACTCATTCCTAAATTACACTTGGTCTTGGACTTCTATTAAAAGAGACACAAATTTACAAAATCAACCAACCTTGCAAGCAGTGCTAAGTGCTATAAGGATAAAAGAAAAACCAGGATAAGGAAAGAGAGCAAGAAAGACGGAGGTTATTCGAACTATATTCAGGGAAGGTTTCTCTGAGGTAATGACATTTGATCAGAGATCTGAATGACCTGAAGAAGCCAGACATTCAGAGAAAGATAATTCCAGGTGTAAGGACTAGCAAATTTCAAAAGCCTTGAAGCGAACACATTAGTGTGTTTAAGGTACAGCTAGAAGGCCATGTGGTCAGAGTGAAAATAAAGTCAGAAAGAGATGGGAGCAGATCATACAGGGACTTGTAAGTCATGGTACAGGCATTTGGATTTTATTATAATTGTGATGGGAAGGCACTGAAGCATGCTTTTCAGCCTTCTTAAAAGACCTTTCTCCTTGGTTTTCTGGCTAACTCCCATACATCTTTCAAAATCTAGCATCATCTCCTCTGTGGCATGTTCTTTTAACTTCCCTGATAAGATCAGTCCCCTCCTCTGTGACATCTCTGAGTAACAACAGATTACTGACCTCTTTTCACAATCCTAGGGGCCTCATTTTTTTTTTCACAGAACTGTCTTTTTCATATTTTAACCTCACAGTCTAACATACCGGTGAGTACCAAAGAAACGTTCGATAAGCCAGGCACAGTGGCTCACGCTAGTAATCCCAACAGTTTGGGAGGCCGAGGCAGGTGGACACCTGAGGTCAAGAGTTCGAGAACAGCCTGGCCAACATGGTGAAACCCCGTCTCTACTAGAAGTACAAAAATTTCGCTGGGCAAGGCAGGAGAACTGCTTGAACCCGGGAGGCAGAGGTTACAGTGAGCAGAGATCGCGTCTTTGCACTCCAGCCTGGGCAACAAGGGCGAAACTCTGTTTCCACACACACACACACACACACACACACACACACACTCACAAACAACAACAAAAGAAACGTTGGATGAAAGAAAAACTCATCCAGTGGTGCAAGATTGGATTCCTTTACGACCCGAGGTAATTGTCGCCCTGGGAAGTCAGCTGCATCACTTCCCTAGAGGAAGGACTTAGGTTTCAGGGATAATACCCTGGCTGAGAACGCCTCAGGTGCTTGCTGTGTCCCCTTTACACGTCTTTGCCCATCCTTCCTGCGTGGGACCTTGCGGGGACGGTGAGTGGGGGAAGCTTCAGGCTTCCCAGCACTGCCTCCGAACACTCCCGGCAGACCCTTCCCCGGCCTAATGACAAACCGGGTCCCTCACTTTCCTCCGTAACAACAGCAGCGATGTCCACTCCTGTTAAGGGGCCAGCGTCGCGCCGCCCACCCCGCACCTCATCCCTCCGCTCCTCCTTCCTTCTCCTCCATACCCTCTCGGCATCGGCCTCCCACCCCTCACCTAGGATGCGCGTGATGCCCAGGGTCAGCTTCTCCAAGTGCGGCTTGCTGCAGCCCTGCGGCGGGGGCGACGCCTTCTCCTCCATGGCTCGCGTCCCCGATCCGCGCGCGGCGGGAGCTGGCGGAGGGTCGGACCCCGCCTCAGCGCCTCGGCCAAGTTCACGGCATGCCGGGAACTGTAGTTCCCGGCGCCTGAGAGCGCGGCGCTGTGGTGATGGGCACCCGGGGCTGGTCTGACAGCAGCAGCTCCGCGGGGCGCCAGTTCACGCGGCCCCGTCCGGTGCTCCGCACCGCACCTCCAGGACGCAGCGTCCCTTTTGCCTCAACCCTCTCGCCCCGCAGGGGCCGGCCGCGCAGGCGGGGGCGGGCCTCTGAGTGGTGCGGCCAATGGGGACCGCGCTTGCAGGCCAGGGCGTGGCGGCCCCGGCGCGACGCCCCGAGTGGCGGTTGTTTCAAGATGGCGGACGTGGCGGGCCCCTCCTGCCCCGGCGTCGCGGCGTTCTGGAGCCGGGACTGTATCCTTTGCCCGCCTGGCAGGGGGCGCCGGCGCCCTCCCCCGTGGCGGCTAGGGGCGAGCGGTCGCGTGGCAGTCTGAGTGCGGAGGAGAAGCTCCGAGCTAACCCTGGTGGCGAGGACGTGCTGCTCAGCCTCAGTCTAGGTGCTCGGCTTTCCCCTTGCTTGGGTGTTAGGTAGCGGAGAGACTGGTACTGTCTCCAGGTGCCGGGACGCGGCGAAGATGCTTCCCTGCCCTCACTAGCGGTGAGCGAGAAAGATAGCCTCGAGTCCACGCTCCGCCTGGGGCTGGGCGGGTTCTCCGAGGTCCCTCTGCCCACCCTCTCGGAGTGCCCGGAGGCCGACTGAGTGTGTGGAGCGAGCTCGAGGTTGTGGGAGTAGTGGATGTTGGCTGGATAGGGAGCCTTTTTGTTTTGATTTAGGACTGTCCTTAGTCTGCATTGCTAGGAGCAAGTCAAGACCTTGTCGGACTTAAAAGGCCCTCCTGTGATGACGTATTTTAGGGGAGCTGTGGAGCTTGGTTACTGGGATGTGGTCTATTGGTGCTAGTTACTGTGTATGATCGGAATCATTGTGCCTGGAAGTATTGTTGACTTAGTTGTAGAGTGTGGGTCAGTGGCAGGCATTGAAGTTCTTGGATCGTTGTGAGATGGAGAAGCAGTAGAACTTTTTAGTCCAGTGGTAGTGTTACCAGTTCAGCAGCTGTGATGAGATGTTTGTGTGACAGCAGTGTTTCTGTCCCTGGAGTAGGTAGACTGTTCTCGCTTGAGGTTTGGTCCTGTTAATTCACTTCATGTTCCTTAGAGGAGTTACTTGAAAGAGGGAGGGCAATCAGTGTTACCGAGTGCTTTCAGAGGCAGCTTTTTCTTTTGACTAGGATTGGTGATGGCATTAAGGTATCGCAGTTACCTTTGGTAGAATCATTCTTCGGGCACTCTTCTAAGCTCCTGGTGAAACGTACAAAAATGTGTCATCAACTCCTCTGCTGAGTTACTAGGATTAGTGTCATGTATGGAGAGAGGGATATGTTTGTATTGTGTGCTGAGCAGGTGTTTAGTGTTTGCACTTAATAAACATAATTACCATTTGTCTCTGATAGGTTGGTGAAAAGCAAATGAAATCATGAACATACACTGGATGAACGCTTACTAGTGCGGTGTGCAAATTAAACATTTTTTCCTTTACCTCTCAGAAGAGAATATGTGCACCGTGAACAAATGGGCTGAATTAGGAAGTTAGTAAATTGGGATAAGTCTTTTCTCAAGAAACACTGCTTTTGCATTAACAAGATTTTGTGATAGAGGAGATACTTGAAGGTTATTAGCCTATGGTATTGTTCAAATATAGAATTAATGATGAGGAGGGACAAGCTATTGCAATGGGACTAAGTTACTTAATAGATATATGGACTGAACCTATGCTCTTGGTCTTCGTACCCAGTAACTGCACTTACTCATGTAGTTATATCACTCGCTATTTTATATAGAAGTCATATATACTCCCTTATCTCTTGTATATTCTCGGACTCTCAACATTTAATGTAAAATACTCATCTTCTCATTGATAGGAATTGAAATTGTACAGGGGAAAAATTATGATTATATCCTATGAGATCTAATTCAGATGTGTGAAAGGCATTGCAAGGTTACTAGTGTCACCTTTTCCCCCAGCCTATTCCACATAATGACCAGTTAGCATCAAACCTCAGATATTTTCATTTTAAATCACTATAGAGAATGTCACTGTTAGCAATGTCAAATGTAAATTTGTTGCTGAACATTTGCTGAAAAGCGTAATGATAGTTATTAATAATTTGATTTAGTTACATGTCTTTGGATCTTGATCCCTTTGTCATATTATTTCCCAGACCACCCTAGAGCCTTTATAGTAGAATTTTCAATAGAAAAATTTCAAAAAGTATGTACCTTTAATCTGGTATTCTTTTCACATTATTGAAAAAAGATTTTCAATTCTTCACCCAAACAATTAGAGAAATGCAGTTGAGAGATTCCTTAATCCTTGATGATTCCATCATGAGAGGACAGATTATCTGACTGAATGTCCCCCACTTTTTGTTTTAACTGTTGTTTTTGTGAGTTATACATCTCCTGCACAGTATGATTCAGCAGTGCTGTTTTGCACAAGGTATGTTTTAGTACTGCTTGTGTAAACAATGAGTGTGTAGTGTTGTCATTTTATGGGTTAAATCTTCCAGCAAAATATGTTCCTTCAGTTGTAAGTTGCCCTTCTCCTTCATTACAGTATCTAGTAATGTCAGAGTGAGTGAGGGCTTCTGTAGTACCTAAATTTGACTACTTAAATGCACTTTAGCATATTACCATTAGCAATGTCAGGAACTTGATATTAAAAAATATGAACTGCAAGTGACTGGGTCAAAACGTTACAATGTAATCTCTGCTGTTAAGTTTTCAAATGGAAACAAAGACTTTATGTTGATGTAAAAATGTGTTAGCCCAAAAAGTCTCTGTGGTTGATAATAATTACATATACATGTATTGCTGGCAAAACTCAGCAGCTTAGAATAGAATGGGCAGTACTCAGCTTATGTCCTTCAAATCTTGGAGGTCTGGGATAGAGGTGCATCTTCCTCTGTACCACTTCTGCTCTGGGTTTCTAATTACAGTCAGCCCTTTGTATCTGCTGATTCATTCAAATGTGGATGGAAAATATTTGAGAAAAAAGATAACACAACAATAAAAAGTAATACAAATTAAACTATACAATGTAACTACTATTTATATAGCATGTACATTGTTTTAGGTATTATAAATGATCTAGAAATGACCCACTCATAGGTCCGCTATGCATTTGGTATATAATATGTCTGTTTGACTTCCCCATGAAATATACATTTGTTGGGAAATTCTACATTTGAAGAAGGTAAATACTTGGATTCTTAATATAATGAGATGAATATACATTACAAATAATTAGAAAGGATAAAGGCAATATCAAATATTGTTATTTAAAAATTTTTGAAGCCAGTTTAGAGTTTTATATATTTGCAGAGGACTTTGGCATGGATGTAGCTGAAAGTAAAAGGTTTTGTCTGCATATTTTGAGTCAGATAGAGAAAGATAACATTGAAAATTGTTGGACAATGCATCATAAAATTAAATAAATATCAATTTTATTGTTTCATAGATGGCTTATTATGGAAGCAGGCATTCTTTTATGTTTGAGGTTACAACACTGAACATTTGTGCGTACATTTTAGTGAGATGAGATCAGGTCATGAATAAGTAAATATATGTCCAATTATTATTGGTTCTGTGGAAAAAATAGAAGAAAGGAGAGAGTTGTAGGGGGAGGCAGGTAGGTTGCAGGAAGAGAGAGTTTTGCAATTTCAAGTACCTACATGGTTAGGAAGTGAATGCTTCAATCAGAAGGCGACATGACATCATGATATATGATGTAAGTCCTAAAGTGAGCCATGAAAATATTTGGGGAAAGAGCTTCCTGGGTAAAAGAAATCATGAATGCAGAAGCTATGAGGTACGAGCTTGCATAGCTTGTTAGCAATTGTAAGAAAGCTAGGAATGAGTGAGGAATAGTAGTAGGGAATGAGGTCAGAGATGTTACAAGTTATAGGGATCAGATCTTGAGGATTGTAGGCTGTTGTTAAAACTTTGGCTTTTAATCTAAATTGAAAATGGCATTAGTATTAAAATGATGATTCTAACCGCTGTGTGAAAAAATAGGCTGTTGAGGGAACGTACACAGAAGTGACAGAGAGCAGTTAGGAGCTTATTGCGATAATCCTGGGAGAGGAACAGTTGACTTGGATCAAGGTGACAGTTGAAAATTGTGTGTTATAATCACAGCCTTTCTAAATTTTTCCTTTTGAAATTTAAAATAGTTATTTTTGTCTTAAATTTCTTCTACTCTTTAAATAGTAGGGCTTCTTGGGATATTTTATTAATGTACTGTAGAAGAATAAATATTGTCTTTGTGTTTGCATGATTGACTTGCCCTCAGTGTTTGTTCTTCAAAGCTGAAGCCCATCTTGAAATTATTTACTCTTCAGAATTATCAGTTACCCAATAATGACCAAACTGGAGCACTTAACTTTTTGTTTTCAAAAGGAAAGGAAACTAACATCAGAGTATGTATTGCAGGGTAAACCACTTGACAGTGAGAGTGGATGGAAGTTTCATTGAACAGTACCTTCCAAGATTTTTATAAGACCTGTAGTTGTGAATATATGAAGATGAACTTTTAGAGAATAGTAATTTTGCTGTATTTAATTCAATTACTTTACTTTCTAAGTTTGGTTTTAAAAGTTAGTTCTAAATTCCCAGGTCAAAAGAAATGATGAATTATAAGAGGTATACAGAACAGAAGCAGCATTTGGATGCTGGATAATCTTATTGTATTTTCCTTCATGTTCTCCTGCATAGTTTCTGATGAAGAACAATCAGTAGTGTACGTTCCAGGTATGATTTTTTTCTATGCTAAAAGTTGGGAAGCTTCCTTTGATCCTTAATTGTTAGAAGAAAATAAAGCTATTAGGACAACGTTGCAGGCGTAACTAACTAGATGCAGAGCAGAACATCAAAGCCTAAAACTTGTTTTTGAATATTTGGCATAACCCTAAGTTTTGAAATACTGGCTCATCTTTGGGATTGGCTGGGCTAATCAGATTTTAATTAACTTGTACAACACTTCATGTGGTAAGGGGCAAAAGATTCTTATTTTTTCTTTTACAAATGATGACCAAATTTAATATTTCAAGGAAAAGTATACCACTTCTTGATACAGGGTATAGGTAAGACACACTTAAAGTTTAATGGTTATAACTCGATGTTAGTAAAACAACCATTGAAAGCACCCTAATTATATAGGATGAAAAATATATTTGATTTCCACTAAGTTAATGTATATTTGTCATATTATAGTTTATTGGTTTTAATGTGACTTATGAACATTTACAATACCCTTTAAAAATATTTCAGTTAAGCTGGACATGGTCACATGACCCTGTAGTTCCAGCTACTCCAGAGGCTGAGGTGGGAAGATCACTTGAGTCCAGGAGTTCGAGTCCAGCCTGGATAAACATAGGAAAACCCTGTCTCTTTAAAAACATAAAAATAAAAACAAATTTCAATTGAATCTTTAGTGTATTTCTTTAAAACATATTCTTTTTATGATTCATATATTAAGAGCTTTAAAATTAAGTTTATAAAGTAAGAGGCTTTCCTTCATCAGGTCCCTTAAAGTGGAGAATTCTAAGGAAGGAGTTTTGATGGGGCAGGGTTTAAGAGAATAAGATATAATTTTGAAATCTTGTTTAATGGACATCCTTAGGAATTTCTACTGAAGGAAATGTCAGATCAAGACACAAGCTGATGAGTCCAAAATCTGATGTTAAACTTAAGACTTCCAGGGCGACCGAAGCTTTAGTCTCCATGGAGTCCTTAAAAGGCGCAGGAGATTCAGTAAATGAACAGGTTGGTTATTTTTCTTCTTTTTTTCCTTATTCTCCCATCTTTGTAAGTGCTGACCAAAAAGGGTAGAATAACATTTGAAAGTATGCTAGGTGACCAACAAACATTATTAAAAGTTACAGAGGATTCCAGGATCCTTTGATGATGCCAGGTTTGAGCCTAAATTATCTAGATTACTCAAGGGTTTTGCTCCAATACGTCTGACTTGGTTTAAGATTTAGCCACAATAATGTATTATCTTGGTATATCTCAAAAGACCTACATTCTGATCTGTGTGGCATTAGTAAATCAAACTGATGAGAATTGTTTTTTAATTAGACATCCTTTTGGATTTTTATTTTTGTGAATTTATTTGATGGATGAACCCTTTTGCATAAGAAAGATATTTTGTTTAAAAAAATAACTCTCATTATTATTTCCCTCACTTGGAAAATAATATAAAGATTCCTACTTTTGAAACTTTATGATATCTTTCTTACTATTACGATGCCGTGTTACTGATTTGTATATTGTAAAGATGAGGGACAAATCAATGACTGGGCATAGTAATAATATTGGTGCATTCCATTGGCACATGTCCTATCTGACCAGTTTATTTTACTTTAATTTTTGTTATATTTTCCCTCTGCAGCCAGAGTTTGGGTCAGGCTTTGGAATCTATAACCTGTGAACCAAATCCTTCTCCTACCTGTTTTATAAAGGACTTTTGGAATACAAATGTGCTTATTCTTTTATGTAATTGTCTATGGCTGCTTTTGTGTTACAATAGCAGAGTTGCTGCAGAGACTGTGTGCCAACAAGCTGATAACATTTACTATCAGACCTTTTATAGAAAACTTTTCACTCTGTAAATTATATTCTCAAAGATATTTCCAGTGCCTCTTTTATTACTACAGGATTTTACTATGATTGAATCAAATGGCCTATTTTATGTTACTTGTACGAGTATACCCACTTCACACTGGGGTGTGAATAGTTGAATTTGCAAGTTCTTATCAAAAGTTGAAAATGTTTTTTCACATAATGGTTGATTTGCTTTACGTTGAACAATGTAGCCTTATTTTGGATTAAGTTCATATTTTTGTACTATTGGCTGTAACTTTTGATTGGGTTATTTCAGTGGCTTTTTTAGAGATTATACTATACATCCTTAATTTATCATAGGCTATTATCAAGTGACATTTTCCCACATCACCTATAGTTTAAGGACCTTTCAACATTGTACTTTATTTCTCCCCTCCTGACTTTTTTGATATTGTTGTAATATATTTTACTTATATGCACAGACCCCAAAATATGTATTACTTTTGCTTTAGTCACTGTCTTTTTTTTTTTCAAATTGAGATATGATTCATATATAAAATTCACCTTTTTAAAGTGTACAATTTATTGTTTTGTTTTGATTTTATGTGTGTGTATATGTTCACAGAGCTGTGGATCCATCATCACGATCTGGTTTCAAAACATTTTTGTCACTCTAGGAAGAAACACCATACCAATTAGCAGGCACTCATCATTCCCTAGTCATCTCAGCCCCTAGCAAACACTAATCTGCTTTAAGTCCCTATAGATTTGCTTGTTATTGACGTTGCATATAAAAGGAAATCACATGATATGTGGCCTTTTGTGACTGACTTCTTTCATTTGGCATAATGATTTCAAGGTTCATCTATGCTGTATTATTACTTCCTTCCTTTTTATGTGTGAATATACATTTTGTTTATTCATTTATCAGCTAATGGATGTGTTCTTTTTGGCTTTTATGAATAATTCTGCTTTGAACATTCATATACAAGTTTTTGTGCAGACATATATTTCCAGTTCTCTTGTGTATATACCTGTAAGTGAATTGCTGTGTTATATAATTTTATGTTTAACCTTTTGACAAAATTCCAAACTATTTTATAAAGTGGTCACACTATGTTACACTCCACTAGCAATGTATGAGGATTTAAATTTCTCCACATTCTTGCCAACATTTATGTCCATTTTTTTTGAGAATGGCCATCCTACTGGGTGTGAAGTGATATTTAATTGTGGTTTTGATTTGAAGCTCCCTAATGACTAAATGATGATGAGCATCTTGGCTATTTGCATACCTTCTTCAGACAAATATCTGTTCAATCCTTTTTTAACTGAATTATTTGTCTTTATACTGTTATGAGTTTTTTCTAAATTCCATCTACAAATACCTTATCAGATACATTATTTGCTAGTATTTTTTCTCATTCTGTGCATTGCCTTTTCATTTCTTTATTGGTGTTCTTTGAAGCACAAAAGTTTAAAATTTTGATGAGGTTCAGTTTATCTAGTGTTTTCTTTTGTTTCCTGAGCTTTGATGTCATATCTGAGAAATTGTTGCCTAATCCAAGGTCACAAATATCTGTGCCTATATTTTTTTTCTAAGAGTTTTAAAGGTTTAGCTCCTACATTTAGTTCTTGTTCCATTTGAGTTAATTTTTGTATATGGTGTGAGGTGGTAACTTAACTTTATTATTCTGCATGTAGCTATCCATTTGTCCCAGCACCGTTTGTTAAGGGTGTTCTCAGCACACTTGTCAAAGATCTGTTGACCATAAATGTAAGGTTTATTTCTGGACTCTATGTATTCTACTCCATTGATTTTTATTTTTGGAATTAGGAAGTATAAGTCCTCTAACTTCTGCTTTTTCAAGATTGTTTTGGCTATTTTGGGTCCCTTGTGTTTTCATAGGAATTATAGAATCAGCATATGTTTTATACTTTTGATGTTATTAGAAACACAGTTGTTTCAGAATTTCACTTTTGCATTTTTCATTGCTGGTATATAGAAATTCAGTTGATTTGTGAATTAATCTTGTATCCTGCAACTTTATTGAACTCAGTGTTTCTAATCTAATAGTTCTTTTGTGAATTCCTTACCATTTTTTTCTATATAAGATGAAGTCATCTGTGAATAAAGATAGTTTACATATTCCTATTGGATACCTTTATTCCATTTTGGATGTATTTTGTTTTAATTGTCTTTTAAAGACATTTTACAAATGCAGCAGAAGACTTTTAAATCTACTCATATAGCTACCATTTCTGGTGTTTCCATTCTTTCATGTGTATCCAGATTTCCTAAAAGACTTCCTTTAGCATCAGTGCAGGTATGCTAGGAAAGAATTTTTTCAGCTCATGTATACCTGAAAAGTCTTTATTTCTCTTTCCTTTTTAAAAGATATTTTTACTGGTTGTAAAATTCTGAGTTAATAGTTTTATTCATTCAGTGCTTTAAAGACATTGCTGCACTGTTACCTGGCTTATATTGTTTTTGAGAAGTTGGCTATCATTTTTATTCCTCCTTATTTTTGTGTGTGTAGGTGTTTTAAATATTGGCTGCTTTTAAGATTTTCTTATTACTGGTTTTGAGCAATTTGATTATAGTATACCTATCTCTTTTGTTTGAGATTTGCTGAGCTTTTTGGGACTGTGGATTTATAGTTTTCATTAAATTGGGAAATTTTTCAGCCGTTGCTTCTCCAGATATTTTTGTGTTTCCCTCTCTTTCTAGTAACCTTAGTTACAGAAATGCCAGGCCTCTTGAAGTTACCCTCTCAGCTCTCTGATCCTCAGTTAATATTTTTTTCATTACATTTTTTTTTTGTTTATCCTTGGATAGTTTGTATTGCTGTTGCTGTGTCTTCAAATTCAATAATCTTCTGCAATGTCTAATCTGCTACTAATCTCATCCAGTGTATTTTTCACATGAAACAATATAGTTTTATCTCTAGAAGTTCAGTTTCAGTCTCTTATTTTTATTTACATCTTCCATGTCACTACTTGACATGCCCATTCTACTATGTACTTGAACATATGGAACATAGTTATAATAACTGTTTCAATATTCTTGACTACGAATTCTGTCATTTGTGGGTAGATTTCAATCGAGCCATTTTTCTCGTAATTATAGGCTGTATTTTTCTGCCTCTTTGCCTGCTTGGTTGTTTTTTATTGGATGTCACAAGAAAGTATGAGACAGTGATAAGTTGGAAGTAATTTGATTCTTTCCAAGCTTGGTTTTGAGCTTTTAAAGGTGGTGCCAGAGCAGCTTTTAGTAAGAGGTAATTTTGCCAATTGTATGCCATACCCTTTTGAATGCTCTTCCTGGTGCCCCTTAAATTACAAGGTTTTCAACTCTGGCTGGTGGGAACAGACTGTTCTTTAAGCTATATTGGCTACAGAAATTATCGCCACTGCTTTTTTTGGGCTCTTTCCCTGGCATGAGTAGTTTTCTCACATATATATGCTGGTCAGTACTCAGTAGTTGACACAAAAGCATTCTTCAGATCTCTAGAGCTCTCTTGTGCTGCTCTATCTTTGCCATTACTTTGCCCTGCAAACTCTAGAAATCTTGGCTTTCCTGGACTCCCAGTTCTATGTTTTCATCTCAGGGAGATTTCTGGGCTCTATCTGGGTTTACCTACCTTAGCCCTGAAAACTCTCCACAGCAGTTAGCTGGGCCAGTTTTAGGATCGCCTTATTTGGTTCTGTAATTTCAATGATCATAATTCTGTTTTGCCTGCTATCCAATGAAAACTATTGACCCTTATCTTTTGTCAGGTTTTTGTTTTGTTTCTGAAAGTAGGGTAGATCTAGTCCCTGTTATTCCATCTGGGCTAGAAGAGGATTCCCTACATGGGAGGTGTATATGTGTATGTATGCTTTCTCTTAAGACTGGAAATGGTGGTGTGCTTTTT